ATATTAAAAACATCTATTAATAATATTCTAGCGATAATCAGCACATACATCGGCTAAAATGTTAAAAGTCAGGAGATTAAACCGCAAAGAAAGTATATTCACGACATGGAGATAACAAGCTAAAGTTACCTAATTCTTATATATATATATATATATTTTAATTATAAAATGGACAAAGTCCGACAAATATATTAAGACATTTTTATGTTTATGCATTCTTTTTATAGATACAAATATTTAAGTAAATGATCTGTTTATGATAAACAGTATTAATAACATTTACCGGCCTGAATATCCGAGAAATTTTCATAGAAAATATTAGTCTTCCGACAGGAATGGAACCTGTATCCTATACGGAACCGTCATATAGCCTGACGTGTCTAAACAGATTGGGCCACAGAGGATCGTTCGGTTAGCAAGGTCGATTCTACTGTCTTTAAACTACAATCTTCCATGATTCTCTCACGTACATTCATATCTGCTCAATGCGTATCCAAATGTAAACAAATGACGTCACACATTATGAAATAGACAAAGTCGGACAATTATTTTAAGACATTTGTATCTATAAAAAGAATGTATAAACATAAAAAATGCCTTTATATATATATATGTGTGTGTGTGTGTGTGCCGCGTCCCTTCAAAAAGTTGAAAATCACGGTTCTCCACAATTTCCTGACCCGTGAAGTTCTTAATTTTTTTATCTCCCCTTGACCTTTTTCTTTCATCCATTTACACGAACTCGGTTTTCCGTTTGCCTTCTGTGAGCATCAAATTTCCCAAAGCTTTTTTCTTTCTTTTTTTATATCATAGAAATGTCAACTTTCTGATGCTAAATATAAATGACCTTTTTATTTTCCATTTTCTCTAAAACTTCGTCGTTGCTCACATCTTCAAAGCATTGTATTCTCAACATCCTTCTGTAGAACATTTCTGTCACCTTAACGTCTTTCCTCATCTGTGATATTGTTCATTATTCATGAATAGTAAACCTTTCAAGTATATCGGTGTATGGATCAGTTATAAAAAATTTAGTGTAGTAGATAAGAAAATTGAACAAAGTATAGGTTGCGCTAGGAATAGTTTTTCCCAATACCACAAGATGCCTCAAAACTAAAATATATTAACCTAAGAATTCAATTGATATTCTTTAATAGTCTCATCAGATTAAGGGTCGCTTAAGGATGGCGTCTGACTCATTCAGACATAGCTAAACTATCAGATGTATATAAACTTTTTCTCGGATCAATGATTAAAATGGGTTTAAGCTTATTGACCCTGAAGATGATAAAAAATGTATTTCATCAGATCTGTCACTACAGAATCAAAATAAGGAACTTTAACAAAGAAAACTGTATCATTTAAAGGGTTTCAACAGCAAACACATGGAAAGCACACATAATTCGAAAAGAAAATAATGATATAATGACGTTGGCATTGCAGATGACTATAAAAAAAGGTTAGGAAGGAAAATCCTTAGAATAACGAGATAACAGGAAAGTCTATTATAATAAGCGATAACAGGCAACTTAAGAATTATTTTTAAGAAAAAAAAGAAAGAAAAAAGCTATTTTAAGAAAACAGTTTGAAGAAAATTAATTTTAACAGACCGTAATGCTAACTCTTCAGTCAATGGATGTCGAATGTTTTCTCTATGGAAACGGTTGATCGTATCATTAATGTATGAAAATTCTTAACGCTTTCCTATTACGATCTGTCTTTCACTCTTCAGGTCATTGCCTCTTGAGACCCAACCAGCAAATATCCCCCCCTCTCTCTCTCACTCTCTCTCTCTCTCTCTCTATATATATATATATATATATATATATATATATATATATGTCTTTCTTCCCTCTCCATTGCTTAATCGTTTTGTATATACGTATTTATTTTTCCTTTCATCTGGTTTTCTTATTTATTTTACTCTACCATACTTATCTCCTATTTTTACCCACCCGGTTTCTTTTTCGTTTTTAAAATTCTTTCCTGCTTATTTGAATTGTGATTACAGCGTTAGAAATCAAACTACTACTTCACTCTGACCCCAGACTGATCAGACTAAAGGATGGGTATGTAATTAAACAGATTAATAATTTCTTATTTGAAATGTTTTCCATGGTCTTCTTCTTTTTGTTACCCGGGAATTGAGAAGGACAGAAATAGTTTCTCCATGGTTTGTAATTTAGTGGTTTTCTTTTCTTACACTTGTTGTCCACAAAGGCTAAAGATTCAAGTCTGCCCTGCAATTTAACACAAAACTGGAGGGGAAACAGCTTCATGCCTTTTCAACTCCATCCATGCGAAAGATAACGCAGCAGCATAGTTTTTTTTTCAGTTGTGCAGAGCCATGATTGCCTCCATCCTGAAAGAACACGGAACCGAGATAAAGTGTAAATACATCAAACAACTTTCGACGGGGTTTGAATATACACCTACACTCATATTGGTTTGATAATGTCACATCATAAAGACACCACCTTCCGATGCATACTTGCTAATT